TATATTGACTATATATAAAGTGTTTTTCCCACGGCACACCTTACGCTATGTCACGGCACACTAGTGTGCCGCGGCACAGTGGTTGAAAAACACTGCTTTACCTAACCCTAACCCAAAAATTAAAAAAAAGTGAAGCCCCTAATTAAAAAAAAACTCTGGAGCAGCTTAGGCTACAGAAAGTCTGGGCATACTGCCAAGAACCATTACCTGTTACAATGTAACAGGCAGTTTCTGAAAATAATTAAGCAGGGCAATAAAGAGAAGGATTAGGCTAGAAACAACATACACAGGCACACCAGAATATCTTCTTCCTGCCTTTTTGACAGGATTAACTCTGTAACGTGAGAAAAACAAAAGGATGTTTCTTCCAACAGCGGGTTCACCAAACTGCTCAGAAAGTTAGCTACCAGTTTTCTGCTCAACCGATGCGAACTGGCTGAATCCCACCACTGGTTCCAGATCATGCAACTAGGTTAATGTCTAAGGGTGACTAGAATTCACAATTTTTTCATTTCAAGCCTGATGCCTCAACTGCTATACCACCTGGCTCTCACATACTTTACAGACTTAAAACGTCTGATAATGGTGTATAAATGAATGCAACTATTAAAAATATTAACCTCCCATCTTAAGGTATATTAATTCATATAAGTAGTTCATACGCAACTGGTTTTATTTTGGAACAATATTGTAACTTATATAGGTAAATGTATGGAAAAATATTTTCATATTAAAGACTGGTATTTTGCATTACATTTTATGAAACCATAGAATATTATTGTTTTTAAGGAAATTGTTTATAATGGGGAGCAGCTAAGAAAATAACAGGTATTGACCAGTGGTGAAATCTATTATTATTTTTTTGCCTACCAGTTCTGTGGGCGTGGCTTGGTGGTTGTGGGGTCATGCGACTAGGTGGGTGTGGCCAACTTTTTAAAAAACGTTTTAAAGCATTTTTTCCTGCCGGTTTGGGTGAATAAGCAGGAAAGAAATACTTTAAAAAGTGGGGGGAAGGAGTTTGACTGTCGTGTGGTTTACAGCTGATCCATGCAATTGTCGGAAGCTTTTTCTCCCCACTTTTAAAAATTTTTCTTGCCTATTCGCCCAAACCATCAGGAAAAAAAATGCTTTTAAAAGCAAAAACAAAGTTTCGCATGATTGCGTGGCTCACAGCTGATCCGCATGATCGTTGGAAGCTTTTGTTTTTTACTACTGTTTCACAGAACCAGGAACAATCGTCCCTACCGGTTCAGCCAAATTGGTCTGAAAAGGAAGATTTCACTCCTAGTATTGACTGACTGGGAAGATGCTACTTCTCTAGGTGTCAAGGAAAATATTACTATTCCAGGTTTCAAAACCCAGTTTCAAGAAATATGTAATTTACCAATAGTTCAAAAGGTTACTTTTCTATAAATCAAAAAGCGTTACGTTTCCCCTTGAAATAGATTTTATTGTATTTTCCCAGAATAAATACCTTAATGTATAAACTAGGCAATCTATTCCAATATAATGTTAATTTTGTAGGATTTCTAATTTATGATTATTTAAGTTTTTTGTTTGATATTATAATTTAACAATTGCATTATTTGTTAGATGCATGGATCTTTTTCAAACTTATTTTCATCCATTTTCTGCGTATTATATTTTTTAAATTGCATTTTGTAAACAAAGGTTTCATTATGATTTTATCTATCATCATTGAAAGAAATTCCTTTTTTGTTTTCAACCTGATGGTTCCATACTTCCTCAACTCAGATAAATCAATGAAGATGGGGGCCCTGATCATAAGACAGTCTAGAGAGCATTTGCAGCTTACCCTTCCTTAGTCTACCTACCAAATTCCCAGAGCAGTTGTCAGCTTAAACATATGTAAATACTAAGAAATAAAAGATGCAGCAGACATTTAGAGTTATCAGAGAAGTTAGTAACTCTTTGATTCAGAGTCTCATCCAAATAAAATATGGCATAGATTGTGACTGAAGAAACCATAATAGAAGCTCTTTTGAAAAACATATATTATTTCCTGGATTGTCTTCAGGTTTTCCTAATCATGCAAAAAGATGCTTCATTTTCCTTTTCTACATAACTATTTTTTCCTAAATTTTGTCTGACAGTATGTCAGTAAGCGTAAATATTTGGGTGGAAGATTAGAAAACTGTTCTTGTACAAACATGAACCAGATAGAGCCTCAACCTCTAACTGCTTAGCAACATGAAACTAACCCAACAATTAAACCATGCAGACCAGAACCTGTACAAAAGTAAGTTTAAGTGGCCTTTGCAATATTCAAACCTACTTGCAAAATACATTGAAACATGAAGATGTTGGCAAAGAGAATTCCACTTCCTACCAATCTTCCTGTCACCAAGAGATATCTGACTTTGCTTGCTTTTGATAGTACAATTCTACTTCTTGTGGAGCAGAAATTTAATGAGATAGCTAAATTCCCAAACTTGGCTTTAAACATTTTTAAGCATCAGGAACATATCACAGTACAAAAAATGACAGATGGGCCTCGATTACTAGCACAGAATTTCCACTTTAAATAGCATCTAAGATAAGAGTTCTGTTTAACAGTTACTTACTACATGCTCCGCAGGTGAAACATCCATCATGGTAGAGATTCCCCATTGCCTGGCAGGCCTGGTTTGTACCATATACACCTTTGTTGCATTTCACGCAGGTTCCTGAGGAGGAGGGGGAGGGGGAAGATTAAAAGATGATTTATCAGAGTCAGATTACACAAATAACAAAAAGTTCAAAAAGTATTCCCAGGAGAAAATGGGATATTTAGTTTTATGGCATCAAGGATTTGACGAAATGTTACATTAAAGCAGACAAGGAAGGTACAAAGCAGTAAGAAGCAAGGAAATTTAAGCAGATTTTCTTTTTCAATTATCAGAAACAAACACATTATGTGCACTTTCATACCTTAACAAGGTTCATATGCTTAAAAAGGGGAGAAATATCTTTGTAAATTACCAAAATTATATTGCTATGTGGAAAAAGGATTTTCCTCTCTCTAAATGTTATTATTTTTTGACAAGCATTATAGCACTGGCTTAGGAAGTACGTGTGCCCATGCATGCATGGTTCACTTATTTCATTCTTTCGTCATATTTAACAACAGTGGGAATCCAGTAGATTATGCTCATTGGTTACTGTTGGCTTTGAAATCTATTAACCTCCAAGACTGGAAGACCTAAATACCAACTATTCAAAAACTATTATTTAATGTGTATTAAGGAAAATAGAAGAATAAATATGTCTAATAAGTGGATGATTGAATAGGATAAATTCTACTTTGGGATTATGTCCAAAATGGCAAAGCCTTTACATCAGTATTCTTTAGGAATATACTCTCTAATATCATTATTTGTTTTACAATGCCATTTTACTTTATTCTTTTTTTGCCAATATCTAGTAAGAAATCTATTTTCTCAACTAACTGAACTTCTCCCACCAGTTTGCTGGTCTTCTCAATACTACTTTATCATGCTTTTGACAATTTTTCCTTGATTTCCTTAAACTCAAAATGAAATTTTATTTCATTTTTATTTACACCAAGTTTTCCCATTCACATAGGTGCTAATGTTGGTTTTCTGAGTATTTTCTTATTTCTTGCACCAATTTTTATTGGCTTTCTACCTTTAACTTTTTAAGACTCTCTAAGCTGACTTTTACGACTTCTGGTTTGGTGTCATTGAGACACAGTTGTAGGGAGCAGGGCTCCGTGAACCTAGGCTAATCTCTCCTCTTTTGGGGGGGGGGGGGGTTGAAGGGCTAAAGGAACCTCGTAGGGTTGATGAAGAAAGGAAGAATGCCTTATGATCGCAGAGAGTGGCAACTCACCTGCTTGATCTGAGGCTCACTCTCCTATTCAAGAATGAGGAAGGAGAGGTGGCCATTATAGCCACCAGAAAGCTGGGACAACAAAGAAAGAAATGTGCTGGAGCTGTGTTTGAACAGTGGACTGAACCTGGGTGAGATGATTTTCAACTTCTTGACTAGATATTAAACCCCAAAGAAAAGAAATTATGAAAAGACAATTCTCCAAAATGTTTCAAGCGGCTAACAATTACTTAGAGGAAGACTACAGACCGAAAAAAAATGAAACCTGAGATAGGATATAATCTTTAAAATACAGAACTGGATTTGACCATTTTATTGGCAACATCTTGAAAAAGCATTTTAAAATGCTGGAAACATTGGGCTGATTATTGGGAAAAAATGAAAGGAAATTATCTGAAGAAATTGGAACAGTGTTAGATTGGGTGTCACATTGAGATTTTAGGTGATAATGCCATCTACTGGTGAAAGAAAGAAAGAAATACACTATATTTTTATAAGGCTGGGAAGACTGGAATAATCTTTAACACTGAGTGGAGGTAAACACATCAGGAAGACTGTGTTTTTGTTGTATATTGTTTGATACCTATTTGTTTCACAGCTAAGGAGAAAAAATGTCTGAGACTGAAGATTGCTAAGTAGAGTGGTTCACAAACACTTGGAACTATTAGTGGAATCAAAGGGCTGGTTAGGTGACTGATAAAGACAAGGGAAAATTTGGAAGGAATAAACTGGTGGAGAACTATAAAGAATTATAATTATTGCCTACTTCGAGGTATGACTCTAGGATTGAGTGAATAGTTTTAAGACTGGCTTTTTGATGTCACAGACAACTAAGAGTGTGGGATTTTGATAGATTTGTGAGCAGATTTTGGACATTAAAATAAAATAAAATGCTTCAACAGGAAATAATAAGCATATTTCAAAAAGAAATGTCATCAATGTTTCAAAGTATTTATGAAACTATAACAAAGAACCACAGGGAAATAAAGTATCTGATATATGATATATACATGAGCTTAGAAAATGTTCAGCAAGTAACAATGAAAAATGAGAAAATCTAGGAAATAGAGAATAGAAAAAAATAGAGGAAGGGAAAGAGCAGGCAAAACAACAAACAAACCAAAAGATAAGGAGAAAAAATAATCAAAATGGATGAAACAGATCAAGCTGACAATATATTTAGAAATTTAAAAATAGAATTGAACAAGCAGGTAGACATTCTTGAAGGGAAGACAGAGACTCACAGACATGGTGAAGATCTGCAGTGAGAGGCAGAGATAGAAAAAGAAACATTTAGACCAACAAAGAATGATATAGGGAGACATAAAACTTCAAAGGAGGAGTTTGGAAAGCATGCCAAAAATAAATAAGAATTGATATACTAAAATGAATGAGAGATGATGGGTAGAAATAGAATATTTACTAATTTAAACGATGTGCTATCAAGATTTAGAGTAGAGGTAGGAATTAGAAAGAGCGAAAATATTGTTATGTGTTGTGACTCAGCAGCAGTCTTCTGTGAGTCTTTTCGGAATGCAAGATTAACGATGCAGCTGGGGCTC